TCCATTTCTTTAAGGGATTTTTCTCATGTCTTTTTTGAGGTCCTCTATCATTTTCATGAAGATGCTTTTAATGTCATTCTCTTCTGGTTCATCTGCATCGTGATGTTCAGGTCTTACTGGTGTATGGTTCCTAGTCTCCAGTGGTGTCATATTGAGTTTTCTGTTGTTGGATGTGCTTTTAACTTGTCCTCCTCTCATCCTTTCTTCTGGTGGGTGTAGCAAGAGTTTCTAGTTCTCCTGGTGGGTGTGGGGCCAAGGTTCTCTTCTGATAGATGCAAACAGATCCAATACTCTGATATTGGTCCTCTTCTTGTGGATGGAGGTGTCACTGTTACCTGGGTGTTGGTAGTGTTCGGGTGTGCAGTTGGAAGCAGAGCTGTCACTGGGCCTCAGTGTGTCGGATTCCACTGCTGAACTCCGTCTGGCATGCAGGTCACTTGTGTCAGATGACTGTGAGCAGCGACGACAAACAGGAGCCAGAAACAGCTCCTGGCCTACCTAGGCCGGTGGATGGAGGCCGGACTGCCTCTGGGTGTTCAGTGTTCAGAACCCGCTGCCGCCGAACTCGGTCCAGCATGCAGGTCGCTTGAGTCAGATGACTCTGAGTAGCGACTACCGAAGTAGTTATTTTTATATTTCATTATGTTAATTCCCAATATGTGTCCAAGAAGAGATAAAGAGGTATTAATATGTCTTCCTTTGCTATTGGTTGTCATTTGCCTGGAACCTCTGCCTTCTATGTCAATCACAGTTGAAGTGGATGGAGTATCTTTCAAATGTATTCATTGCAGTCAAAAGCTCCTGTGTTGACTTGTTAAACACTCAAAGCAAAGACACTATATGTACTGTAAATATGAAAAGCTCTTGTCATGAAGATGAGGACCTGTCTAACTTCCTCTGCCACAGGCATTAAGTCAAGGTGTAAAATCAATGCTTCTCAGGACTGTAGATTCTAGGTACCACCTTTGTCTCCTCTGGCCACAACTACTCCTGGATAGAGGGTGAACTGAGGCAGCTGACCAAAGACAGGAAGAGAGCTGGTTGAAGAAAATGAACAAAGAGCTGGTCTCCTTCACTCTGCCCTCCAAATATATTGTACCTAAAATTTCCTATGTCATTTGTCAGAAAGTAATGGACTTAAACAAACCAACACAAAATTGACTTAGACATTAACACTTTCTCTTAATATGAATCCACACAGAGAGAAATGGGTAGGTGGGTAGATGTATGTGTGTGTGGATGGA